TGTTTCTGAGGCTGGCTTCTGAGTTTTCCAAGAAAATTACCGAAAAAGGAAATTTTTTAAGGAAATTTAGGATCAGCACATATTATATTAATTTTATAAAGAACTTTATAGAATTGAAATTATATTTTTAAAAACTTGGTTTTTTGAATTTTTTTTTATAAGAAAAATATAAAGTATAAGTTAATAATTCTTATATTTAATTTCACTAGTTGAAAAATATTTATTTGGCATAATGTTATTTTTGTAATATTTATTAAAAAAATAAATAATTTTGTAAATTAATGATATAAATAAATTGTTAATTAATTTTTATTATATAATTTTGCATAAATAAATCATCAATCAATTTTTACCATATAATTCAATATTATTTATTATTATTTTTACTATATATTTTATTAAAAATTTTCTCAAAAAATCATCAAACATCTATCAAAATTTACATATTTGTTAAATTGTTAATAATATATTATATTATGATTTAAAAAAATTATAGTCAAATATAAGTTGCAGTAGTAACCTGCAGACAATGATATTAGAAGTTGGAAGGATTTTCATATGACTTTTAAAGAAGTGATAAATTACTTCTAAAGTTGTACTTAGAGTAATAATTACAAAGATGAGTGAATTAGTTAGTGTTTTTTAGCTTTAGTAATTCATATTATATACAATATATAGTTTACAAATATTTAATAAAATTCATATAAATAGCTTGATAAAGGGATAAAAAAAAAAATCTTTATATATTAAATAAGTATCATATATATTAATTATTTTAATACTTTTATTTATATATAGTTAGATAAATTATCTATACTATATATAAGCAATATTTTTTTGAAAAGTTGTATAATTCTTTTTTTTTAATTTTTCTAATATATTTTTATTAAGAATAGACTAATTATCAGATTATTAAATACTATATTTTGAATTTAATATTTTAATTTTTCAAAATAATTCATAAATTTTTACTAAAGATTATAGAAATTTAAAATAATTTTATAAAATTATTGTTTTTTAAAGAATTTGATTTGTATCTTGTATTTTTACTATAAATATATAGATTTTTTTGTTTTAAAAAAATTATATTTTCATAATAGATAAATTAATATAAAATGTAAATATTTTAAAAAATATTATATAATAAAAACAAATATATTGGTTTAATAAGAAAAAAAAAAAGAAAGAAAGAAAGAAAATAAGCTTTTTTACTATAAAAACTTTTATAATAACTTGTATAAAAAATAAAAAGAAAAAAAAAATTTATTAATAAAAATATTATTTGATTTTTTTTTAATTATTAATTAATCTTATAAAGATACTTTGACTTTTTAATTGATAAAATCTTTTTATTATTATTCTTAAAATAATTTGAAAGGTTTTTTTTAAAAGTTATTGTTATTTTTTTTTTTTGTTTGCAATTCTTTTTATTTTTACTGTATTAATGATATATTTCATATTGGGTGCGTGTAACGTTAATGCATAAAATTTCTGATCTAATTCGAAAAACCATTCTTTTATTTTTCCTTCTTACTGTATATTGTTTTGCACATATCAATCATCCTAAAACTTATGTTGTATGGGACAAGAATGTTGCTATCATTGACTCACAATCCTCTGTTATTGAAAATTCGTACGTCCGCGAATGGTTTTATCACGAAGAGCTTTAGTACTGGGGCGATTCGCTGGTTGCCCACAACGAACGACGTCAATGTTACAACTTCTAGTAACCAGGAAAATTCAAAAAAGGATAAAATTTATGAGAGCCATATGCAATTTTACCGGGAAAATTATACAAACAAAATCAACTACAAACTATTGGAAGGTATCTTGCCTATTTGGTCTGTTAAATAATAAACAAAAAAAGAAACTTTTTTTTTTTTTTTTTGCAGACTTTCCGGAATGGCTTGACGGGCTGGGATTAAAAATATTGACACCTCATTTCGAAGGCATGAAGTGGGAAACTATTATAAGATTAAACGTCAGCGATCTACACTATATGGGAATTCGAAATTCAAAAGTTCGATTTTTGTTAGTTAAACATTTCTGGAAAGTCAAAAAGTCAATGGTGAGTGGGTTAGCTTATTTTATTAATTTTAATTTTTATGTTACCGAGATATTTTATATTTACATTTAAGATAACAGGTCAAGGATCGCGGGAGCGATCTCAAACCCTTCCAAGTGCACCGGCGTATATACGATCTCACCAATGCCGGAGATGATCTGGCGGTTGACCCTTATTTATTAAATGGTGTGTTTGCATAAAGAACAATATCCATTCAGGGATGCAAGAAAATTCAGAGGAGATTCGTCATTTATTCACAATTTTCGAATCGCAGATTTAAAATATTTTCTCAACTCAGTCGAATATGAGTATGCAAACTTTGCACCATTCTTCCATGGTAAAACGTGGAGGGATATCGTCGAGATGAATGTAAAAGACTTGGAACGAGTGGGCATAAAAAATTACAACTTGAGGAACAAGATGGTTAAAAATTTTAGGGAATTCAAAAAGGCAATGGTAGGTGAATATCTAAAAAAAGCTCATAATCTTTCAAAAAATTGGGTTGCTCAGATTTTACGGCAATTTCAGATTCACGTTGATAACTACGATGATGAAAAAGAATAATAATAGTAAGGATAAAAAAAAATCAAGATAGCGACATTGGAAAATAAGTTCGGCATTTAGAAACGTTATTGGCAATAAATTATTCATGCACACTTGGCACGTTCCAATCACAAAGTCAAATTTGACGGTGTGCACGCGTACTTTACAACATAGGGAAAAAATAAAGTTCCATTATCTAATGTAAAATTTAAAATTGAATCCAATCACGTACTATCGAATTATCTTGTAGAAATTGTACAGAAATACTTTTATACATTGTTACAATATATCGTATATACAGTATATATATTTAATATTCTGTACAATAATATTTACAGTATATGGAAATATATACCATATGTCAGCATGCCGAATTATTTGCGTACTTAGAGGTTTTTGGAGCACAAACTTCATGTGGCGGCGTGGCGATTGACCGATGAAGAGCGACAAGATACTGTGAGAAAAGAAATCGAATAAAATTGAGTTCAAACTTAACTTCCATCTTCATCTGAACTCCGACACTGGCAATAAAGTTAAAAAATCTTTAGTGCAAAGCAGTTTTTTTTCGTTAAAGTGATTTTTGAAAGAGCACACTTTTACGTACCACATTTCCATAAATGATTTTTGTTTTTTTGTGCATGCACATGAAACTTGTGTCTCCGAACCCTCGGTCACGGTATTGTAAAAAGCCGAACGTTAAGATATTGTCCGCTTTTTTCGTCTGCATAATACTCCTTTGGTACGATGTTGACTATATTTATTGGTACCCCTACTTGATCTCTCGGATAAAAATAACGGGTTTTTTCATTCATGTATAATTCGAAACATTCTGACTACCTAATATTTAACTGCCTCTATGAATCATAGTGAGCAATATAAGGGGTTTCATATTACACTTTCTGAATCAGAAAAACAAGAACCAAATCCACACTTCTCTCTTGTTTATCGTACAGAACTCTTAAACGTCAATGAAATTAGATGTCGATACACAATTTCACGTAAATAAAACGCTATTACTGTGAATATATATTTTTTCTTCGGATTATTTCATTGACAAAAATTCCCACTTTATATTTTGTGCTCATCTATTTTTTTTTGTTACTACTATTCCACCAACCCATAATATGGAGTCAGCATCTTAAAAGAGTAAATGAGTAAGGCCGATTTAACGAAGTATCGAGATCCGATTGTAGATCTGCTCATTATTGTCTAAAGAAGGCATTCAATCAATAATTCAGACCACAATTATTGAAAATAATCAGTTCTATTGGTTTTCGAAAGTTCGTCCTTTCGATTTCATCGTGACGCGAAAACCAACTGAACAAATATTCAAACATCGGAATGAAAAGATATCACAGAGTTGAAATTTTTATAAAAAGAGTCGGTTTCTTTTTTCGGTTCTTCTTTTTTCAAAACGCTAGTGGAAAATTTAATTTCCTTTCCGGTCACAACAATTAACAAATATTCACCTCCCAAAACGCTCTACCAACGCCTCAGAAAATGAAACTCGATGGAGAACGAAAGTCTTCTTTGTCCACTTCACTCATGGTTAGATTCGTAAATAATAAGAAACTAAAAAAACGTGTGATGAAATATAATGGTAGACGAAGGACAGAACGTAATTTGGACTCTGTTTTCATTGATACTCATGACATCGAACGTACCCAGCTTCTGCATTATTATTTTCGATTCACGTGGATCTGCGGCTTTTCGAGTCCCGTGCAAGACGTCTTAAAGGCCGGCGGCGCGAGGGTCTTGGATGTGGGGTAATTAAAAGAATCTTTACTTGTTATTCCTTCCTTCATTTGTTATTAGGTCGTTTAGGAGCTAATCATCCGAACCCTTATCCTAGTTGTGGTTCCAAGAATTTCCTATTGGAACTTTCGTCGGAATATCCGAAATCACAATTCTACAGTCTTGACTGCGCCTCTAAATACCCGCCGCAAACTCTTCCGCATGATAATGTGATACCTCAACAATTCGATCTCTCAGAGGGCCTCCCGTATGAGGATGAGATGTTCGATTTTGTCAACATTCGTTTTGTAAAGCATTGTTTTAGCGAAACCGAATGGAAAACCATAATCATGCCAAACATTGTGCGGGTAGTCAAACCGGGCGGATGGGTTGAGGTATGTGTTCCATGACTCATCGTCCCTGTACTACTCACAACCCACGTGTTCTCATCGTGATGTACACGTAGTTTATGGACGTTGACGAGAATGTCTACAACACCGGTCCGGAAACGAGAAGTTTCATGCGAATGGTCGAATCCCCTTATGGTAAATCTTTGATAAAACTCGATCACAGCAAATTCATTCTAAAATGATGACTATTGGGCAGGTCTTGCGAATAACAATTATAGTACCAATGACTTTTACGATCTTAAAATTGACACACTTCAAGAAATCATTCAATCTGCTCAACCCGAGCTCGGTTCACTGATCGTTATGGACAAGTTGAATCCCTGGCACCCCACTCATTCTTCCACTCACAACGCTGACATACATTTAGGTAAAAAAAAAATTTTTTTTTTTTTTTTCGAAACATCTTTTCTTTCTATGATATCCTAACAACAATACCTCTTCCTTTGTAAAATATTTCTACTTCCGAACAGCAAACGAATTGCTTGACTCTCTCAGATTCAAAATACATGTCGAATACGGAATGGAATCGGACCAGTTTGACAAAATGTCCGACAGAATAATCCGTGAGGTTGAAACACTTAAAACCTACACCATGACCTACAGAATGTTTGCGCGGAAACGTCAATTGTAGATGTGCGTAGTGTATATTAAAATCAAAACAACTTTAACTCATTAATTCTAATCATTGATATCCCATATCGTATTATGTACATCCATTCTTTTGTTTTTGGTTTGTTATTATTGTTATTACTATCTCTAATAATCCCATATGTATTATTCATAACCCATTACAGTATTTACAATCACATTACCCTTGAAATATTTTTGCCTAAAATTTAGAGATTTTCCATAGCATCTTTTTCTTGACACATTACGGTAATGAACCATTACCGGTACTTGTTTCTTCTTTTTGCTACGTGTATTGTTGTCACCCTTATTGAAAAGAGAACATCCATGTGGTAAGATTTTCATGATCAAAGACCTAGACCTAGACTATATTACCCAACTTAACTCACTGTCGATAAAAACTTATGTGTGTAATTAGTACTTAGAAAACGCAAGTTTTTAATTGACTATATGCCTATATACAGCATAATCATGTGTAATTTACTTTCTGCACTTAATTACAACCATCTTTATATAATAAATAAATTGGTTCGGGCCTATTAATTGATAATAAAATATATTGCGGTTGGAATTAATAAAAAAAATTATATTATTTTAAGCAATAAAAATTGATTTATTAAAGTGTTAGGTTTCGAAAATTTAATTTTTGGAAATATTTGTTTTTTTTGACGTACAGACGGGTATCATCGCATTAAGGCGATTACGATCATAATAATAAAGTATCAATTGCATACATAAGTGATTATTTGTTAATAATAAAAGGTTTTCCTTTTTGTATTGTTTATTTATTTAAGTAAGAAATGGCATGAAAATTCATGTTATACATGAAAATGGGTTGCAAAAAGGGCTCAGGAAGGAAGAATGTTATGATACTGCAAATAATTGGTTGATCTGTGACAGCAGTTAAAAATTGCCTTTACTAATGGAAATCAGTCAATCATACTGATTACTTTAAAAGAAAGAATAGTAAATCTAAATCAATTATCAATAAACACCTTGAACATCGAATTTTGTGAGAAATTAAAGCTGATCAGTTATTAAGAAAATTGTCAAAACACCTCCTTACTACTGAAATTTCACAAAGAACTCAAACTACCATATAGTGTTGACTAAAGTACCTCCCCATGTATAATATCTCCTTTTATTTTTAGGTGGTTTTGTAAAAGACTGGATATAAAATGACAATAACCAATAAAAATCATTATATTATGCAAATTAGTCTTTTTTTTTTTTTTTATAATGCTGGCTCAGCCTTGTTTTATTTGTATATTTGCAGCAAAATTGTATATGAAGGTTACCCTAGAACTTACTACCTGTTTTCTATCAAATAAAACTCAATAGAGGACTTTTTTTGTGGAAATACTTACTTTGCGGCTTGTTGTCATCCCTAGTGAGGGGGCTAACCTGCAAGGCTGAGCTAGTGCTAAAATAAATTTCAAAGATAAAGAAGTTGTCTATAATGTTTGTGAGCCACTGGTTCATGAAAGTATTGACCAGGCTGATGTATTGATCTTTTATATGTCTTTTTCTCGAGTTAAATAATGGATCTTCCTTTTTGGACTTGTATTTTGCTTGTTTTTCTTTTTTCCTTGTGATGCACATGATGGCCTTCCATTTCTAGAATATTTCACATCTTTTTGTTCATATTTTATATAAGAAATTGATTATATTAATGCATATTTGAATGAGGCATGTCTTTCTGTTCAGTCTATCTGGGATAGTGATTTGAATATAAAAGACTAGTTCTTTGAAGAAGGCACCTCCGATGCTTGGTATTAAGTACTCTTTGTATCTCCAGTTCATTTTGCTTGTAAATTTACTTTCAAACTTCTTTTCCTCTTCTTGTATTGTATAGCTTTTAACATGGGTGATTACAGTATTGATTAGAAACTCTTCAGTTTTAGATCTGAGTTGATTGCAGATAAACAGATGTGTACTAGTTTCTGGTTTATGGCATTTGAAGCATTTGTTGTTTTTGTATAAGGAAGGAATTTTAGCATATAATTTGCTTTTGGTTGGCAGTTCATCATTCCAAATGCTAAGACAAAATTTTCTGAGTTTTTAGTCTTCCCAGTCAGTGTGATGGTTGCTTATTTTGGTTGGTTGTAATAAGGCAGTAGTTGTCTGCCAGTGTATTTTTTTTACTATTCTTTCACTATATTTGCATCTTGTTTGATTGAGGAGTCTCTATTTTGCTAGGTGAATTGTTTGGGTGAGCTTTTTTGTGATCATTTTTATAGAGATTTCTGTAGAGATGTTGTTCCATTGAGGAACTATATCTAAGGAACCATGTTGTGTTCTTAGAATCTCGATCACTTTCTCACCCAGTTTCATTTCTTTCCATTTGTCAATCTGTGTCAGGCAGTCTGCTTTTTCATTGTGTTTGATTCCTGAGTGTCCCTTTATTTTGCATAAGGATAGTTTAATTTGGTTCTGTTTGCATAGACCTGTTATTTGAAGTAGGAGGTTTGAGTTTTTTTGTGTTTTTATAATTTTTCTTGAGTCTTCCTTTTGGGTCTTGAGGATGCCATTGATCACTGCCTGGCTGTTTGTGTATAGAGTTACTGAACTGTGTTCAGGTAGAACACTAAGTGCTGTAAGGATCACTGCAATTTATGCTCTGGTTGATGATGGATGTATGGCTACTTGTCCTTGGAAAGTGTGCTCTTTCGAGTCTGGGGTAATAATGATCCAGCCCAGACCCATGTAGTATTTTCCCTTGAAATTGTTTAGAGAGCCATCAGTAAATATCTCAAAAATGACATAATTTTCTAGCTTTTTTCTGATTGTTGCTAATGTTTCTAGGTTTTCTGGAGAGCTTTTGAGCAGTTTGTTCAACTGCTTGTGATGTGAATGTATGCTTTTTAGAGGGTAGATTTTGATATCTGCTTCCTGTTAAGTTAGAGGGCATGTATATGTTAGAGAGTGTGATAGATAAAGAGTTGAAGGAAACCCTGTTTTACCAGGTTGTTTCTCTTTCTATGTGATGGTTTTTTCTTGTTGAAGTCTTGCTTTTATGGACTAGTATTGAAATGGATTGTTGTTTAGTAGCCATGAAGCTGCATTCTTTTATTTGGTTTTCTAAGATATTAATTGTGCATCCTTCGCATGCCTCCAGTGATGAGCTTTCTGGATTTTGTGTATAGTGTCTATATTTAGTGATGTTTTGATCTATTTTTTGCTGTCTTTTACCAATGGTTGGGATGCCTTCTTTTATTGTATAAATCCAGTGAGATCTAGTTGTGGAAAGATTAGTGGTGGATATGCCTTGTATAAAGACATTTTTAGTTGTATGGGGTTACCTCAGTCTTTGGTTTCTAGTGTTTCTTTAAGTTTATTTTGTATAGTAGTGAACCAACCAGGAGTTGGACCTGGAATAGATCTTTTATTAATTCGGATGACTTGACACCATTCTAACGTTTTGGTTCTATTTGCATTGAGGAGTTATCCTGTGAAGAGGATATTGTGTTTCTTTAGATTTTTTCGATGTTTGGCAAAGAAAACCTTGCTCATTATGTCCTCGATCGGAGTGTCAATTTCTTTTATTAAGGTCAGGCTGTGAGTCTCTTGTAGCAAGTATGCTATGAAGCCATATCTTCTTTGGAACTATATAATATCATGTGTGAGGTTGTTGCCTAGCTTTTTCAAGGGGCTTTCTATTTTGTTCATGATAGAGTGTGTTGATCAAAATTTGTTTTGCAGAGTTTGAAGTCTTATTCTTGTGATTTCTCCTGCTCTGTTGGTTCTATTGATTCTATTAGTCCAGTTTGTAGTGTGTAATAGTAGTTGTTTATCCCAGAGGTGTATTATGTTATACTTATATCTACTGTATAAAATATTGTTTGAAGTTGTTCTGGCCAAGCCTAGTTTGTGTTTGAAGGTTGAAGTGATGTTGCTCATAAAGAGATTGCATGATTTTTCTGATAGGATCATGTCATTGCATAGGTATTTAGCACTAGAAATTAGAGCATGGTTTATAATATATTGCATCTGTTTATTTGTAAGGTTTTTCATTCCTATAAGTGCTTTGGTCTTTCTGAATTTCTGTTGGATTAAGTTTCTTTGATAGTCTTTCTTTTCTGAACTGTTATGCCACACTTCTAGGATTCTAACTGACATTTCTTTGAGGCAGCCCTGGATGGTTTGATTGTTGATTACTATTGATGATAAGTTGTAATTTTTGTGAATTGATTTTAATGTCATTGATGTGATAAAATTCCTCCACTTTTTGATAATCTTTCTCATTTTTTCAATGATCTGGGTGGTATTATCCATATAAGTGCTAACTGCAATATTTATATTTTTTGTCGACCAACATTCTTGAAGATTTCTGCATATCTTTGTGAAGATTGTGTATCCTAAAAAGTTTTGATCAATTTTGGTTATGAGTGAATCATAAAAGATGGGCCAGAGGAGTAAGAATATTGTATCCCCTTGGTCAATACCATCCTCAACATCAAATTCTGCTGTGGGACCATGGCATGTCAACACTATATTTTGTCTGTGGTTAAGTATATTCAGGAGGATGTTGATAAGTTGGGAGATTCTGATGCATTTGAGAGCTAAAGTCAACATTTCCAGATTGACTGAGTTATATGCCTTTGACATGTCTTGGCTAAGGATCCAGGCTTATCTGTTTATATATTTTGCATATTCAATTATATTGTTTATTATATAGATTGGTTCTTGTGTGCTGCAGCCAGGAAGTGCTGCCCAGTTTAGTTCTAAGAGGATTTTGTAGTTTTCTATGCATTGTGCCAATCTGTCTGTGATAATTTTTGTAAAAATCTTCCTTCCTGCATTCAAAAGTGTGATTGGTCTTGTGATATCTAGGTTGTTTTACTAGTCCTTTGGTTTGGGTATTGGGTAGATGACCCCTTTGCTCCAGTCTTTTGGGGTGTCCCCTTCTCTGATGATTCTGTTAAAGAGGGAGCGGATTTCTTCTATTGCTTTGAGTTCAAGTTTTTTATAGGCTATATAGGGAATTTAATTTCTCTTGGGGGC